GGCAGAATTTGGGGAAGTAGTGGAAAGGCATTGCTGGAGAAAAAGTAACAAATGGAAAATCTGAATTATGACCTAGGCTAAAAATACCAATGGAGAAAGCTGAACGAAACTAAACATGTGCATATGGCACAATACAGACATGTTTAACACATCCAACGCTTGGCCCTACCTTGGGAGAAACAGTCTGCAAGCGCCTGTCAGTATTCTGCCTCCGGTATGAGTACCAGAGCAGCACACAACGGGGGATATCTGTCAACTTTGCCCTCAGAGTCATCCAGTTCTAATTGCTAATACAGTAGCAAGAGTGATAACAAATTGTGTATATATTTCCATAAATATCGAAATACTCAGGATTCTGTTGTGCTTGGCATAGACATGCAATTCACCAGCAGCAAGACTGGACTTTTAGATTAGTTGACAGATCACAGGTAATGGAGAAAGCTGCTGCTGGTTTACATTCTCTTGAAAGCATATCCATCTTAGTCCATCTGAAAACTTCCCTGCTTGGCAAAGCAGAGTTCATGGCTTGGAGAATTTTTTAATGTATTAGTCATAGGCCAATGCAACATAATAAAGGGTCTTTTAAAGAAAGCAGTTGAAGTTGTGCCTGCTTTTGAGTGACCCACTTGGTTGGGTTAGATGGTGCTGATGGCTTACCTTCTGCTAACAGGTTCTTGAATTGAGGTTAGTGGTAAACAGACTAGAAGAAACAAATGCTGTCAAATATGCCAGGATGGCATGGCTCATACTGGAAGGGAGGAAGCAGTTAAAAGTATTTGATTGATGCATGTTGAGTTTCTAGTTCTTAGTTGAATGCAGTACTTTTCCTAAGCACGTCCTGCAGGTTTTCATATTAGCTCAGGGTCTGGCCTCACTTTTTACGGGGAATGTTATGCTTGCACAACTACCAGAAGCTTCTTTCTCCTCAAGGCAGGATGGGACCAAAATGAGGGCCTGAAATACATTTCCCTTAGTGTTTGAAATACATTGTGTGTATGGCACAGAGATTATGCATCAAGTGATGTTTCAGTAGTAAATGCTGTTCAGGCTTTTGGTTCTTTCTGTTCCTGCTTACTGAGAAACCAGTCCTAAGAGGTTGTAGCTGCTGGCGAGGGGAGGCATTAGTGTTTGGTATGGGAGGGAGCAGACAGCAAGAAGGGGGAAATACAGGTTGAGCGTCAGGAAAAGTGTCATCAGTAAGGTTTGGTGGGTGCTTAGATGACTGACACGTCTCCCTGCAGGGTACAGGATGGATGGTAGTGCAGAAGGGCTCAGGCAGCGAACGTGAGTCTTTCTTCCCTTTCTGAAACCCCTAGTGAGGACAGGCTGAGCTCTAGAGCTCGCTGCGCTGCTTTAGTCAGTTACTGCAGCCACAGATAAGTCCCTGCAAAAGCATGGAAGGATTGACCCTTCTAAGAGAACTAATTTGGCATTGCCTTCAGCAACCCCTTCTCGGCCACTGTAGTGTTAGAGACTTGGCTCAGAGGTGGCTGAGTTGAAGAGGCACTTGCAGGAGCTGGGCTGTGAGCAAGGGTCTGGTCTGTGTTAGTGTTTGTGGTCGACTGTACCTGTGTACCGTTGGGACTGATAAATATTGGTGGGAGCACCTATGGCTGCAGCAGGCTGTTTTCATCCCCGTAACAACTCCCGTTGTCAGGAGGCTCTGACCCTGACGGCACAACCCATATAGCATTGGGGAAATACCTTGCAAAGGGAAACTTGCTGGCCATCTCTGTGCTATCACAGCAAAGAATTGCAGGATGAGAGCAAGGGTTAAAGCTCTGAGTAAAATAGCACAGGAGCCCACCCAGAGAGATTTAAATGTCGCCTCTTGTCCTGCAATGCATGCATGAGTGTGTGTGCGTACATCTCCAAAATTCAGTGCTGCCTAACTTCCCTTCTTCAAAATATCAACCAGTTTCTAGTGCCAAGGAACCTAATAATCTATTTATTAAAATGAGACAGACAATAAGTTTGTGTGGGGAAATGTTAAGGCAGTGCACATTGATCATGCTGATTTAGGACAATACTGCCATCGCAGCATTTCTGCAGACAAATCCTTTGCAGCTAATTGCATTATAAATGCCGCTAAACCATTTTCATAAGGTATTTCCCTAAGATATAAGCCCTCCATCAAAAATAAAGCCAAAAAGAGCAAAGGAGCAGTTGTGGGTTTTTTTCCTAATTAAATGTTATATGAAAGTAAGGCAGGAGAGAGAGGAAAAAATGCAAATCATGTTAATTAAATGCTAAATCTGCTGTAAGGGGCTAGTTTTAAACACCGTGAGACATGTCGAAACTCATACAGATTTTCCAACTAAAAGCCAGAAAAGTAGAGTCCTGAGGTCTTTATCCTCAGATCAAGGTCCTGAGCCATCCCAGGTCAGGATTTTGATGTCACCAAATTTCAGAGGTGGTATTTCTTGCCTGTCATTGATCTTAACTGTACCAAAAAGTGACCCAGACGAGGCCTGGATGCTGGACCTCCTTTAAGAGAGCCCAGGGAGTGTGGCAGTGGGAATCAGCCTCTTCTTCCTGCTGTGGTGGACTGTGGCCGTAGGGTTGCGCTGCCTGCAGTGGGTGTCCTGGGCTAGAGACATCGATAGGGAACAGCAGTCATCGTGTACAGCCGGCATGAGCACCTATGGTGTTCGCCAGAGAGCAGTTCCCCCAAATACTCAGTAGTAGTACTTGGCAAAGGGTGTTTTTACAGGGGATCTCAAATGTTTTTATCAAGCTGGGTCAGAAGACCCTGAAGCACAGAGCAGTTAATTGGATTTCCCAAGGAAGCATAGCAAGCAGCAGAGGGCTGAGCCTGGCTTCCTTGTTTCCCAGTCTCCAGCACAAAGCAGTAGACTGTTGCCTACACTATTTCAATATTTTTTGGGTGACAGAAAGCAAAGCATCTTCCTTTCATATTGAAGGGCACAAATTCTCATTCCTTGGAAATACTTGTCACTTCAAACGTGCCTGTACAAATTCTGTCCTTGTGCTTGTGTGTCCTGCAAGTGATGTGCTTGCGAGCTCATTTTAGAGACTCCAGGCAGGGAGAGATCACAGTCAGACCAGGAGGAGGCTGGGTCTCCTCCGATTTTCACGTATGAGGTTTTTCAGGTAGTGCCCATTTCCAAAAAAGTTACTTGGTAGTTCAGCAATTGGGAAATTTCTTTGCCAGGGTACTTTTGCCATAGGAAAGCCTTTCCTCCTAAGATCTTGTATGAAACTGGGAGTCACAGCTCCCAGGATAGCTGTAGCTGTCAGTCTGCTATTGGATTAGAAGAAAGCATTTTCTTTTCTTCCTCCTCCTCTCCCCCTCCCCATGCAGTAAAATTACTTGATTACAGAGAAATTGGGAGATAAATGTACTGCCTGTGGTCTTGTGTTTGAGCCTAGGGGTAGCTCTGATCGTTTCAGCAGTCACAGCTGGGATGTGGCTACGCCCTGACTGTGAAACGGGCGTGTGCACAGGGCAAGACCCCACTCACTAACTGTAGCCTCCTAAAAGCTGGGCACCCACTGTCGGCAGGTTGCCCCACTGCTGCCAGGGCTGGAGGGAGCAGAGGCGTCCCCAGAAGGCAACATTCATCTGCACCTGCCTTCACCTTCTTCAGGAAGGAGACTTCTCGCCTTGCCGATGCGATGGAGGCACCATGCCTGAAGCTTAAGCAGCTGAAGTTAGATGGGTCGAGTAAAGCTAATGGAGCTGGGTATTTCATGGACTTGAGCATCAGTTAATTAATTTTCATCTTGCCCTGAGCTGGGTTGGGTGTGAGGTGTTTGTCTCAAGGGGGAACTGTGGTAAAGCGGTTCCCCCAGGAGCACTGGGTTGTGGCAGAACAGCTATTAGGTGCCAGGAGTAGTTGCCTCATTAGACCTCTCCGTCCCTCTGCTCTAGGCAGGAGAGATGCTCATAGCCTCTTTAAATGTGCGGTGTCCTGATCGTGAGGTGGCCTAGTGTTGACCCCCAGATCAAAGGAGTGAGTTCCCTGCCTGACAACCATTAAAGGTGCACGCAGGATCAACACAGGCCAGAGATATGTATAAGAAATTTAAGCCGGGGTTAGTTGAAAAAACTGCCATAAAAGTTTCTCAGCCAAATTCACAGAAAGCAGATGACTATAAAGATGCAGGAGAAAGTTCCATAAAATTATTGCACCCCCCCCTCCAAAATGGGATTTTATCCTTGTGCGTAGGTAACAGCTGGCATAGCAATGGGCTTTAATCTGGGGAGAGGGGGACATCTGCTTGCTGGTGGGAAGAGTAACAGTAATTCTTGCAAAAAGTAAAGAAGGGGGGAAGAGGGGAGGGAGAAAAAAATCCATTTCTAAATTTTTTATGGTGAAAAGGGGCATTTGTGGTTCTCATTTTTTATGTTATTGTTGACAACAATTGTGGTTGTTAAATTTTTTAAGTCATTTTAGTTTTTCCAAAAGTGACCATGATTTGTTACTTATACTGTAGCTTACAGAAGTGACACACTTAATATCGGGGGGTCCAAACCTGGATATCTACCAATGGAGATGGAGATCAGGTAAATGCACACCTGCTCTTCCAAAGAGAAAAAGCTGCCGTTTGGCAACTGGTTTGAGGAGGGAGCTGCAGGCTATAACATGAGCATTATGGAAGAGATTAGATTGAGTGCTGCCATTAATCACCAACTTCCACGTAGGCCCAGCATGGTTTTGTGTGACAATGATGTTCAGACAACACACCATCTACCAGGAGACTTCGAGTCTCTGGAGAAGGCTCTGGGTTCTGGCCCTAGCAGTAGCTGAGCACAGGTCCACCAAAGGAGACCTGGCAGGAGCTGTGGTCCCCTGCAGACTAGCCCCATAGCGAGAACGATGTACCGTCTTACTCTCCCAGCCGGAGGGAAGGTGGTGGTGGCTGCAACAGAGACCGTGATGGAGAAGGCAGGTGAGAGGGAGGTGTCTGCAGGTAGAAAAGAATAATTACGTGGTACCATTGCCATGCCTGTCATCTCCTCTTCTCTTTTACAGACACTTAACAAGAACAATTTGATACCAGATGACAGGACCAACTTCTACCCGCTGCAGCAAACCAATGTGTACACGACAACCTATTACCCGAGTACACTGAATAAATATGACTACAGGCCCGAGGCCTCCCCTGGAAGGACCTTTACCAACAGCTGATGATGGACAGATCCTACAGGACTGGATTGCTTCCTATATGAATTTTTTTTTAATTGATTTTATGGACCAAATACTGGCCCAACCTCTAGATGTAAATATTGTACAGTAGGGTCTTTTTTTTTTCCTTTGGTTAATTGTATTTCTTGTAAACAGCACATCTCCTTACAAGGACAAAAATGCGTATGGACCATTCTGCAGAGCTTTTGTGGAGATTTGGCTGGAGATGGCTTTTACTACTGCAGCTGTTTATGGCTGGAAGATCAGCATTGCTGTCCAAGGCTGACGTTGTCAAGGAGGTGGCTGTGTGCTGGGCTCGGTGGCCACCACGCAGCAGCACACAACACGTGGGTGCACTCTAAGCAAGGCAAGAGGTGGCCTCCTGAGGCAAAGGTGTCTGTCTGGTGAGGAGCATCCTTCCTGAGACAGGGTAGCAATGGTGCACTGGGTGACACGCAGCTCGTAAGACAGGCCGAGCGTGACTCCATCGTGCCAACAACTTGAAGAACGTTTTCTTTTTTCTTTTCCTTTTTTCGTTTTTGATTTTTTTTTATGTTTCTGCAAAAAAAAAAAAAAAGAAAAAAAGAAAAAAAAGAAAAAGTGACTTTCTAGGGCAGTGTTCCCTGTATCATCAACAGAATCTTTTCATATTACAGGAAATACTCTCTGCAGCCTTCTTTGGTGATATGCAGTTCAGCTGATGAGAAACAACACACAAACAAAGTGCATTACCCAAAGAAGCTTTCCAGAATGTTTCCAGTCTTAATTAAAAGAAAATTATACAGGCAGTGAGACACTGAGAAAAATAAATGTTGGAATAACATCGGAGACATGAACTTGGAGTGCCTAACAAACGAAGATGTTTATATCACTGGAAAAAAAAGATGTGATGATTGCCGCACAAGAGCCATGGGCTTGCTTGCTTTCTTTCTTGTTCTTTTTTTTTTTTTTTCTGAGACAGTGTTAACTCTTTTTGTTCTAGCTTTGATCCTGATTGCGTCTGCCAGGAAAGGCAACTTTAGAGGCCATGCTCTTCTTGTGGGAAATCACCATGCTTTGGGCTAATTTTTCCTCTTGTTTTACTGTTGGTTTTTAGTTCATTTACTTTCAAAGAATGAATAATTCTGACTTTGCAGGGGGAGGGTATTTTTGTAAGGAATGTTTCCATAGTCTGACGTGACCCAGAAAGTCTGCTGCACATTCTTATAGCGTCTTCCAGTCAGTACTCTATGAAATAGTAACACAGCTGAGTGGTGTGCGTTGTTTGCCAGTATTTCTTTAATTTTTCTGAACAAAAACAACCCAACAAACAAGTGCTGCTGCAGCTATTGAAGTAAATTGGGGTGGTAGCATTATTAAACGGTATATCCAGCCTTGAAATGTAATTCTGTGTATGTGTGTGACCTTGTCTATAAGAACTGTATTAGTTTGATGCAGAAGCCATGTTGTCTACAACCAGATGTTTGTCTGACATAATTGTTTGGCAAAAAGGAAACTTATTGCTGGTGCTTAATGTACAATTACATCCAATGTGTTAGCAACGTGAACAAGTTCACCACTGTTATCATTCAGTGTTTCTAAATATTTATGATGAACTCCTGATGCTAAGGACTTTAGATTGTTGCAATACTGAGCATGAGATAAAAGTACACCCTGAATCGCGCATGAGCTCCACGTGGTCCCGAGCTTGGCTTTGTCGTCTGCATCTTACTCGAGCAATTGCCATGCCCGTGCTTGGCCGTTGGCTCGGCCGTGTTCCCAGCAGTCCCGTTTGTCTTCGCTTTATTTCAGATTTCGCTGTAAGCTGACACGGATCGTTTTTCAGTGCTGTTCCTTTGCAGTTGCTTGTTTGGAAGCCCAGCTTGGGCTGTGTACTCAGCTCTTTCACGTAGGCAGCTGGTAGGAAATGAAGAAAGACTGTGTTGCTTGTGACAAGTATATTGCTTTTCCTGCGAAGAAAAGCCAACATGGCTCTGTAAGCCTGTGTTATGGTGGTTTGACCAGAAGGCAAGAATAAAGTAGCCTCCCATTTTTAAATTACTTTGGTCGACTTCAGTTTGCAGTGATTGAAGGCTGTAGGGATACTTGTAATAAAGTGAGGTCATTAGCACTGTCACAAGGACACCTTAGGCTCAGTGGTGCCCGTCATTTTCAGCAGTTGTTTTTCTAATTTATCAGCTCATCCTGCTTCTGCTCTGATCTCACTGGGTGAAACAGAGGAAACGAAGGAAGAGAGAGAGAGAGAGAGAGGTGCCCTTAGATAGATGTACTTGCATTTGAAGCAGCAGGGTCAGGAGCTGATGCAGACCTCGAAGCTCTGTCTGAAGCAACCTGCTGCAGCCCTCCAAGCAGGCACAGCAGCTTGGTGGCCCTAAGTCCCCTGGCAGCATGGCTGGGGCGAGAGTGGCAGGAGTGAAGCAGGACCACCAGGGAAGCCGGAGAGCACTGGTAGCACATACCAGTGCCTGCAGGGAGGCTCTTCCCAGGCCCCTAAATCCTGTTTGAGGAGCGATGCCTTTGTGCCTTGTGCCATAACAAGTCTGCCCCGTCTCACTGAATTTCTGCATCCCCCTCAGCAACACTGAAAATTCTGACTTAAAGTAGTTCTAACAAGTATGTAGCCCAGGGGTTGAAAGTTATCACATTAGACTATCAGGATGGGATTTCCCAGCTCTAATTTATGTGATTCAGAAGAAAACATTGGCTCCCAAGATCACTCTAGCCATTGTAAAATTAAAGCTATCTCCGAGCTTCCCCTTGAGAAGATTCCCTGTATCAACACATTCTGCAATTACCATGCACGTGGCAGGATTGCAGCTGGAGTTTGGGGGAATGCGAGCAAGTCAAACCTTGCAATTATTTTAATTTGCCATTTTTTCCTTTATTTTTCTTTTATAGCCCACTCCTTAAACATTTTTCCATTTTCGGCTTCACAGAACAACATGATGTAAACGGATTTTTTCCGCCCC